CGCACCAGGGTGGCGAAACTGTCGATGGACCCTGCCGGCAGTTGGGTGTACCAATGGAGCGCGGGTCCTTTAAGCGAGGTCGGGAAAACCCTGCACAGTATAGCGTCACTGTTAGTGTAAGGGTTTACCTGACTCGTGTACGCGTCGACGTGCTCATCGGGGTCCGTAGTGCCGTCGTAGCGGTCAAGGTGGAGGGGCTTCCACCCGCGGGGTAACGAACTCCCCATGATGCCGTCCACAAAGGGATGACGGCGGAAAGGCTCTTGGCCCTCGGAGACATGAGTGGGGGCCTTGCTGGTGCCCTGCCTTGATCTGTGCGTTGATGCATGAGACCGGTGCGTGGCGGGCCGTGAATGTGGTGCCTTGGTGGTTGCTTGGGAATGGGAGGTTGAATGCGCCTCCTCCTCATGGTCACCGTTGTCGTGCGGTGGTTGGCCGGGGCGATGCCGGGGGATCTGGGCGCGGATGCGCTCGTTCTCGGCGCGTAGCGCCGCTAGGTCTGCTTCGTTAGTGGTGCGCATCGCCGCGAGGTCATTCTCATGCTGGACACGCATATTCTGGAGGTCGGCATCGTGCTGTCGCCACATCTGCTCGACTTGTTCGACCAATTGCCTCAGGGTCGCGGTGTCGCTGTCCATGGTAGTTGAATTGCTTGTGTTATATGTTGCTCGTCTAATGTGGCTTCTTGTAGAAACCATGCAGGTGGCCGATGAGAGCTTGGTCTGATCGGCCCCACGGTGGGCGCCAAATGTTCTTACCGGAATTTGGTCGTGGGAGTGATCCGTCCAGTAAGATCGGTGAGCCTCCTTTGCTGGGTGTATTGGTGCTCCGAGATGGGGGAGGTACCTGCAAAAGAGACTCCGATGCTAAAGTTAGGGTTTGCATGAGTAATAGTCTCATATATATAATGCACGTACCTTGAGGTGATCTAGGTTTGCCTTGGGCTTTTGGGCTTGAGATAAGATATATCATGATATGATATGATATAATTAAAGGGCGGATCTGGTCTGGGACGAGATCCTCGGAATCAGGTATGATTCGCTCAAATGTCGGGCTGACGTCATGCACCGCGTGCCCGGGGTTACTTATTTGCAACGCTAATCCGGGCTAGGAGTCCGGGTGCGAAGTACGGTTAGTACAATTATTAAAATATTTTATCATAATCTTTTTATTTTCTTTTGATATATTTGTTTTTGATATAATATTTAAATATTGTATAATATTTATTTTTTATTTTATTTTGATATATTTTTTGTTTTTAATTATTTTTAGTAGTAATTTTGATATATTTGTTTTTTTAATTATTTTAAATAGCTGATTATTTAGAAGAAAATTATCGAAAGAAATAAATATTTACAATAAATTTATTAAAAAAATTATTAGAGAGAAGTTTATTGAAGGGAGGTTTTTGAGGGAAGAAGTTATTCCCTTTATATGAACTATAGATAATATAATTAACAATTATAAAAAATTATATAAAAGAATTACTATTTTTAAAGAGATGTTTGGTAAGAGTTTGGGGTTGTTCTTGTCAAGGTGAGTATTGTAATGCCACTCCAGGCGCTTGCTTGTGGTAGATTTTTTTTTTAATTTCATTTTTTTGTTTAGCTTCGACTCTTTCCTGTTTGAAGCTTGCCTTTTTTGCTATTTTTCTAAATGCTTCGGCTTTTTCAACATTTATGAAGCTTGCCTTTTTGTCATGTTATTCTCATGATGATGTTATTTGCTGAATCTTTATTGAAGAGTATTGTTTTGGAAGCCACTTCTGGCTTTGGTAAGGAAACCATTCCTAGTCTTGGCATTCTCTTGAATCATCCTTCATTCAATTAAGGAGTAGGGCGTGATGGCCTCTTCATGCTTGTGGGCTTGATTATTCTTCCTCGTTCGGTTCTATCCCGTGTTACTGTTGACATGTCTTTTGTTTCTTGGTGGCTATATGAAACCATTTGTATGGAATGCCCTTGTCGGGGCTATGCTTCTTGACATGACCTTGGATTTAAGGCACTTTCTAGTTGTTGATCTTTTTTACGAGTGCTTCTGCCTCTTGATTCCTCCGACAAGGGATGGATAGACACACAAAGAATGCAAGGATGCAAAAGAAAATGCGAAACAGGAATGGATTGGATTTTTTTTTTAATTAAACTTATACCCTTTTGTGCACGCTTGTGCCATATGCATGTTATGCAATGATGCTTCTATGCTAATGCTTAAAATGCAAATTTATTTTTACTTTCAAGAAATTAATCTATGCGCATTGATCAATGACATGGATTGTTAGCCTTTAGCCTTGCCAAATTCAGTGTTGCTTCTTGAACCTAAGGTTTGTGTAGTTCAGCCCTCTTGCTTGTACCGGATGTGATATGTTAGCCCTTAGATTGGATGTACCTAGACTCTGTTCTAGGACACCTCCATCTTCTCCTTGTGAGTGTTCACTGTGCATACTCCGTGTATCTCTCAAATTTACCTTAATGCCATATAGGTCAAGAGGAAAGAAAGGAAGAGGATATATATATATTTTTTTGTAAAAGTTTTGGTATAAAAGATTTTTTTTCAAAAATGGTTTATAGAAGAATGGCTGGCCGAGGTAAGCTAGTGGTTTAGGCTGATGAACAAGCACATTCAAAGTGAGGAAATCATTTTCCGCATTAGCTTATTATTTCCTTCAAAGTTAAGCGATGACTTGGGATTGCATGTTGATTAAATGATCTTCTCGAGCCGCCTTTCGATTTTCAACACGGGATGCTGCTTCGTCCTAAATTTTTCCTAGGCTACCCTTTTTAATTATGGGTTACCTAGCAGATCTTGCCCTAACTTTTGCGCAGCCCCCTATATGGGTTTCTTGCCGGGCGTTTGTCTTTGCAGCATTTTTCATTACTCCACTAAAGGGGGATGCCCCTTGCACTGGTTTTGTTTGGACTTTTATCCACAAGTCATGCCAAGTTTGATGGATCTTTATGTATTTTTTGTGTACCAAGCCATTGTTTCTAATGATGTCCTTATTTCAAATGTACTTGTTCATTTAGGGTTTGTTGACGAGGCTTAGAGTAGATAAAAGGGAGAAGAGAAAGGAATTAGAAAAGTGTATGGCATTAAAATGGAATTTTCAATTTACACGTGCCCATTTAATGTAGCTTGAGGGCCCGGGCATGCCCCAAGTTCGTGATTCGTACACAAAGAAAAAGAAGGAGGTTACCCCTTAGAGAGGCCTAGGTTGTCAGACTGTAGGGCTAGTCCCACACTTGCTTGGATGTGACACTTCAGAAGATCTCGTGTAGAGGGAGGTCCTTTGGCTTCTTCTCTCATAAAGGTGTTTCCAATCCATATCCTGAGTCTTTCCTACGAGGTAGGAAGAGCTTTCCATGGAGTCTTGTTTCTCAAAAGGAACATTCAAGTTGTCTCTCGATTTTCAGCTCGAACAAACATTGCTTTTTTTTTTTTTTTTTTGCCTAGTATGCCCTTTGCGGGTTTTCATTCTAGCATCTTCTTAACAAGCAATGCTTCTCTCTTGTTGAAATCATCTTTCAAGAAAGCTCTATTCACTTTGCCTTTTGTGGGATTCGTCCTCATATTCCGCTTGGATTTCACAGTTGCACGACACAGCCTTATTTTCTTTGGGGCAAGAGTTAGCGTCTTAATGATTATGAAGTTCTTTACCTTAAACTCTTTATGCATGGCTTATTTTCCATTATTTCCGACTAACGCACATAGGTTAATTCCCCTTTTTATTCTCATTTATCCTTTTACAAGGAGGGATATGCTCTAAATGAATGTAATGTAGAATGTAGAGAAAGTTAAGAATAATAAATATCAGTCTCATTGATTTGTTTATCTGTGAATGCTCAAATAGATTTTGACAGTATTAAGCGAAAATCTATATTAGATTCTAAGAAGACTTACTTCAACAAGCGTATCAAAGCAAGGGTCAAACCATAGTATTTTGAAGATGATTTGGGTTTTTCTTTAGAGCGCAGATACTGTTGTATATTAGAGCATTTATTTTTCTTAACTTTCTATACATACGACAACCTAATCCTCCTTAGCTAATAAATAAAATGAATGAAATTAATGAGCTAATCTAGAATGCATGTAATTTTTTTTTTACCTAATCTTTATCATGTTTCTATTATCTAAGGGGAAATGATGCATGGTAAAGATGAGATTTCTTTTATTGATTTTTTTTTACAAAAAGGAAACTACCTATATGATGTCTGTATTTTGCCTTTTTTGTTAATTTTGGCTTTTGCTGTACAGAAATAAAAAATGCTACAGAATTTGAATTCAAAAGTGGCAAATTTCATTACTAAAAATGAATTTGTACAAAGAAAATTAAGAAATGGGGCTAAGCCCAATCAAACAAATGCACGAAAAGCAAGAAAAGAGTAGCCGGTCTTATATAAATTATATTTTAAATTTATATTAAATAATTTATATTAATAAATAATTATAATAAATAAAAACTGAATTAAATAAAAGATTATAAAAAATTTCACAAACCTTCCCATTAAAGCAAGATACTTAAAAGCATTCTTACATGAAATAGAAATTTGTATTTAATATATAAGAATTGAGAGTGAATAATTTTTAACAAAATAAACTCTCTTTTTTTTATATACTTTTTGTATGTGTTTATTTAAATTGAATTTTTAAAATAATTTTTTATCTGAAAAACAACTCCTATCTATTTCTAAACAAACTCCCAATATATGAAAAACAACTCCTATCTTTTCTTTCGACTTTCACTTGTTATCTGGAGATAGTCCATTAGTTCTTATTGTAGGACGGTTAAAAGGTTGAAAACGACAAGAGAAGTTTGGTAAAAGCAAAGAAAAAATGGCACCGAGAACACGTGCTGCATTCCCTACTACGGTGTCGCTTCCCATCTCTATCTCTTTAATAACGTCATTCAATTCAAAACCACTTGTTGTGACACTTCGCTTCTCATTCCTCGTTTCTTCACGCCCAGATTTCCTTTATATATTTTCTGTTTTCTTTTACTCAAAACAATAAATAAAAAAATGTTGAAGCTTTCGTGCAATGGGTTGGACCGGGTGCACTCCCTGGCCCAATGCGGCTTCGTGGGCCGGCCCGCTTGTGTTGTCCCTCGCCGGAGGAGGAGCGGCGCCGACGGGTTCCGGTATCAGGGCGGCAGGGCGTTTCCGGTGGTGGCGGCGGTGGTGTCGGACAAGGGCGGCGCGGTGGTGAACCAGGTGGTGGCGGAGGCGGGAACGCTGGCGGACCGGCTGAGGCTGGGGAGCTTGACGGAGGATGGGTTGTCTTATAAGGAGAAGTTCATTGTGAGGAGCTATGAAGTGGGGATCAATAAGACTGCAACTGTTGAAACCATTGCTAATCTCTTACAGGTCTTGAGTCTCAATTTTCAATCTTTAATTTTCAATTTTCAATTTTGATTTGTTTGTTTATGTGGGGACTTGGATTGTTTCATCTCTTTTTTTAATTGATTTGAGATTTTGAGCATATGGTGTTTCTGGGTCATGTGCATCTGTGCGTGTTTTAGATTGGGAATTATGATTTCGTTTTTCTTAGTTAAAAATGAAGATTTTTGGCAATTTGGGGTTGTTTGGTTCCTGGTTGTGTTTTTTTTTTTTTTTTTTTTTTTTGCCTCTGTAGACTGGAAGCCTTTTTGAAAGCTCAAATTGAAGATTTGTGGTATTTGAGGTTATTTTCTGTATGCTTCGTAGTTTGTTTTTTGCCAATTTTAGTAGTGCAGATTTGGATGGCACTGATTTAGTGAGTTGCTTTCATGGAGTATTGGATTATAAGATTTTGGGAATGTGTGCTTTGGTTTTCTTCTCCGTGTTTCTTTTTCGTGTTAGTACTAATTTGTTTCCTTGATTTTAACGCCCTGATTAAGAATAAGGGTATTTTTGGATAAAGTTTTCCATAAATACTTCTAGGAGAAAAAAAAATGAAATAAGTTTCTCCTTAAGCTAAAACTAATTTATGCATAGGTTAAAAATAAAATTTTGGAGAAGCTAATAAGAGAGAACTTCTACATAAGTTAATTTTAGCTTATAGAGAAACTTATTTAATTTTTTCTTCCTATTTTTCTCACATAGAAGTGCTTCTGAGGAAGATTACCTAAACAAATCCTCATTGTCATGTTAAGAATTAGTACTCTGATTTCTTGTCTTGGTCTTGTGAAAATATTTAAGTTCTTTTGATTATAGTATCCTCTTGTTATTTTTTTAATGCTCTCAAAAAGGTTTGCTTATTGTAATACTATTATTGTGTCCTATGTTGGAGACAAGGCAGTCCCTGAACTCGTCCAAACAAAAAGATAAAAATCCATTGGAAAAGAAATGTTTTATTTTTTATTTTTTTATTTTCTAAAGTATCAAATAAATTTGGATGTCTTTTAGAGTTTGATTAAACAAAAAGCAGACAGATCTCATCTGAGGAGCTGAATTTTTTGAATATAATTCCTCAAATGAATTTCGAAATGCCTGGTGACTTTGTGTTGCAGGAGGTTGGATGTAATCATGCTCAGAGTGTTGGATATTCTACTGACGGTTTTGCAACCACCCCTACAATGAGAAAACTGCGTCTCATATGGGTGACTGCTCGCATGCACATTGAAATCTTTAAATACCCTGCATGGTGGGTTGTTGTTCTTTAGAACACAGATTATAAACTCTATTTTGAAAAGTTTAACTGAGATGACTCCAACAGGAGTGACGTTGTTGAGATAGAGACATGGTGTCAAGGGGAAGGAAGGGTTGGAACAAGGCGTGATTTTATACTGAAAGACCCTGCAACTGATCAAGTTATTGGAAGGGCAACAAGGTAAGGATTTTCCCTTGAAATTGGATAGTTGTGATGCTTTTAGATGTTTTTCCCTTGTTAGACTGAAAGACCATGTAACTGATCAAGTTATTGGAAGGGAAGCAAGGTAAAGGATTTTCCCTTCAAATTGGATGGTTGTGATGCTTTTAAATATTTTTCCTATATTAAATGGTAAATATCATACTTCTGCACTATAGTCTGCGGAGTTTTTTTCTGGCATGGCTCCTTTCAGTTCATATATGGTAGATGAATTAATCATCCGCAGGATATGCATTCATTGTATAGGAGGATATCTAACAACTTTTTTATTTCTGGGCAACCTTGTAGAGAACCCATCACTTGCTTCTCCTTTTTATCTACTCTTTTATTGCAGAATCTCTTTCCTCATTTCAGCTCATTATATTTTATTTTGGTACCTAACCATCGATGGTAAGCCTACCTATATGGCTATATAACCTTATGCTATTTAGTGGCAAAAGGATGGGAGACTAAGCTGCTGGCAAAAGCACATAAATAATACTGTCCCAAAATCTAAATCTGACAGAAAACTATCCTTAGATGCAATAATTAAAAATTAATTCCTTTGCATCATGAAAATTGATGCATCTATAAATTTTGACATGTTATATTTTGTTGTACACAATAATGTCTGGTGCAATAATATGTTTTTAAACACTTTCATATAGCTGACCATCTACATTTAATTGTTTCAGCAAATGGGTAATGATGAATCAGGACACCAGACGACTCCAGAAAGTTTCTGATGATGTTCGAGAGGAGTATTTGGTTTTCTGTCCTCGAGAGCCAAGGTAGTTACTTTTCTTTATCATATACTGCTAATGCATTACAATATATCCAAAGTTTGCTAGATGATTTGCTTTATTTACGTGCTCAGTGTTCTTAATCACTATCATTATAGTAATAATAACAAGACGATAAGCAGAATTTGCAGAAGAGATAATAATTTATTGGGCATCTGACCTCACTAGTGCAAAGAAGTTACCCTACTTGGTCAATATTCTATATCTTTATGGTTCTTACCAGAACAAAATAAAGTATATCATATGATCTTGCATGCATCAAAAGTTCATTTCAAAATGACACATTACAACTTTTAATTGGTGGCAGGAAGGAGGAGCTTACCTGCTTGAAATAATTTGTGGTAAACTGCAGTTCAATTTGTTAGTTAAGCCAATGATTAGGTAGTAAGGCACCACTGATGAGGCTGTCATTGGATGGTCAAATAAACTGAGACACATAATCATATTTGTATTATCCTATATATTGAAAATCACTTGAATTTATGAGTTGAAATCTAACACATCAAATTTTGAGACTTCTTATACTTGCTATATCAAGTCAGGAGTTTCCAGTTTTGCCAATTTCAAGGTTCAAACTTTAACTAATTGGGAAATAAAGGTTTTTTGAGGGGAAAGGTATAGGTTGAGGGAAGATAAAAGGTTGAGCACCCCTCAGCCCAACTATATTGTATGTTTATGTTTTAGTGGGGGAAGGGGAATATGTTATGCTATCCTACACATTTGTTTTTATTGGAATTATGCGATGTAACAATATTGCACTCAATATCCCTTGCTTTTTTATATTACACCACCTCAATGCATGTAACAAGTAACAACATTAAAAACCAGGAAAGGTGTATGTTAAGGGGAAGGATACAGGTGTTATGTTGTTATATAAATTGAGGGAGGTTTGTGTAAGATGAAAAAATAGAGGGATACTGAGTATAACATAATTAAACATCAGGTGGTGAGTGTAATTTGTCACACACTCGCACTGTTATGAAACAGAAAACAGAAGCATGATATAAAGGAGAAAGAACAAGTCTCTGGTTTCGATTAACCCCAGAACAATTCTGGCACAACTGGGTAGTGAAAATATCACTCCAACACACCCCAAACAGAGTGGCCTCTCAATTCACTGTTCTTAAGACTCAAGAAATCACTGTCGCCTCTCTAAATCTGTGTCTCCTTTCCAAGATCCCACATTCCCCAAGACACACAGCTGTCACAAATCTTAACTAACTTCTCCCCAAATATGGATCATACTTTTTTTCCTCCTTAATACACCCTCATCCCCTTTGTCATATTTGGATATGTCACAACATTACAAGGTCCATGTTGCTTAGGCCTAACAAATGCCTCCAATTCCTTTGGACTAATACACACCAATATTATTTGTTGATTGGTACTCAAACATGTTTCACAAGTTTGTTTCACCAGTAAGTCAAAATTAAGGAATATAAATATGATTTTTTCATTCCTTCCCTCTCTGTGTGATATATTTCTTGAAATAATAATTTAGCCTAGGATTGTAGTTTATATTTTGAATGTCAATGAGAGAGCCAGAGAGGAAATAAGGAAACAGGATGTGTTGTCTGTCCACCTCCTTGGGTAGAAACCTAAATAGATCGGTATCAGAATTCTTGTTCTAAACTGAAAACAAGCCTTTAGAGGTTAACTGAATTTACCTCACTAAAACTCTTCTGAAAATTTGGAGAACCACTATTTAAAGATCATCCTTTTTCTGAACCTAATAACCTTTTAGTTCTTTATCAATTAATTTTGACCGCATAGACTTCTAACTGCAAAAATAACTTTCTTCACTCCCTGCTCTTAATCTCTAGGATTCTGTTAGGAACCCAAATTAGAAAAATATAAGAAAGAAAAGAAAGATTGTATTTCTTGATTGAAATGGAACAAAGAATAGGAGAGGTAACTCTCCTCCAAGGGTTTACCCTTCACAAAGGATTTCTCCATTCACAAACAGTTCATGCTCAATTTACAAATGAAAATATCTGAATGAGTCCCCTCTGTTTTAGTCCTCCTATTTATTTATGTCACCAACCCATTATAACAAACTAATATTCTAACTCTCCTTTCCAAAGTCCTAACAGATTCTTGACAGAGAAATAAGAGATTTATCATCACCAGCATCATCATCATTATTCATAACTGGTTATTGAAATTATGATACAATTTCTGTCAACAGCATAAATTTGGATTGTATTACTTTTAGTGGCTTCTTCTGGTGCTCTTCTTTAGGAAAGGGTGTGAGGAAGTTTCATAGTGATTTCTGATAAAGTCGTGGAAACTCTTACAGTTTTACTACACATGCTAACTTCCATTATTTTAAAGATGAGACTTGCTATAAAAAATTAATCTGTTTTCTTTGGTAATTGATACAAAAAGTTGATTTTTGAGCAATTTTTTCTGGCATAGTTAGCATGCTACAAGTAGCTTAGTTGAATTATTATGGACCAATGATAATACTGCATTGCTTGTCTTGTTACTGTTAGTGGCTTGATGTGTGTCAAATTTCAATATCCAGGCTGGATTGCTGCTTAACTTGTAATTAGTTTTTGTTTTCTCTTTCCAATTTCTTTTCTGTGGTTTTAGGTTAGCAATTCCTGAGGAGGATAGTAATAGCTTGAAGAAAATTCCGAAATTGGAAGACCCTGCTCAGAATTCCAGACTTGGACTTGTGGTATGATCATTTGGCTCAAAGAACCTTCTTCTGTTCTTTTTTTTTTTTTTTTTTTTTTTTTTTTTTTATGGAACAAGCACAAAGGAAGGAATTTCATTGGTGGGAAAATTGTTAGCAAGTCCATCATATTTAAAGCCTGGCCTTCTCATTATTGACTATCCCTTTTAATTTTGCAGCCAAGAAGAGCAGATCTGGACATGAACCAGCATGTTAACAATGTCACCTATATTGGATGGGTGCTTGAGGTTGTTAGATTGTCTTTTCTATTTTATTGAGATACATGCTATTTTACATTTTAGTGAGTTTATTAATCACAAAATCAGCTTTTGGATAAACAGTCAATATCATGTTCTCATTTCATTTTACATTCATGAATTTTCTTGTAATTTTTATTTATCTATCTCAAGGTGCAATTATTTCAAAATTAAGAAAGTGTCAATTACTTGATTACATAACTATTATGTTCAAATTTTATGATATTTGGTGGATTGAATATGTTTTTAATCTTTAAACTTTTGTTGATTTTCACTTTTAGTTTTTAAACAAATTTTTTACTAGGTTTAGTCTTTCAACACTTGCTGTTTTTCACTCTTAGTCACTGAACTTTTCTCCCATTAACATTTTTGGCTCCTAACATCAAGTTTTTTGTTCATGGAAAAAAAGTTTAGGGACTAAAACCAAATAAAATTTGTTGAGGGGACTAAAAGTGAAAATTGACAGAAGTTCAAGAACTAAAATAATATTTAATCCTATTTGGTATCTATGATCAAAATCACAATTATTAATAATTCAGTAGTTGGACTGACAATTTACTTAAATTGTTCTCATTTCATATGTTTCCTATACACTTTTATGTATGTAATCCTTGTTTTCTGTTTCGCAATGTTTTTTATACTTGTATGTGTTATTTCTTCAAAATGAAAAGTAACTGGGGCTTGGATTTCATAAATCACTTGGATAGTTATATTGATTCCTATATACAGTTCTTTTTCTAGAATATTCACAATTTTGTAGATATGCCCGTTTTGCTTTTAATTTTTTGGTTACAAATTTTCTTTATGTTCAACACCTAGAAAATAGTAAGTAAGAAACAGCTTGGTTTTGACCCATTTCTAAAATTAAGATTAGGTTTTTCGAACAAGTAACAAAAATTCAATTTAATTCTGTATTTTTGCTCTAGATCTTAATGAAAAAGAAAATAAAGGAGAAATATGTTTCAACTTTCAAGTATTAGCTGATAATTTAAACAGTTTCAACAAACTGTTATGAAAGCAACCAATTGAAATCTTGTATCAAGAAATGCTCTGTGTACCATTATTTTGACAAATGAATGGTCAAGATTATGTTTGGAGTAACATATCTTTTGCTGGACCACTGGAAACTAATATAACTGAGGTCATGTTTGGAGCAACTTTTTTTATTTTTAGCCCCAACTAAAGTTTGACATTGATATAAGTTATAACTCAGGTTTTTAGATCTTAGATGTGTAATTAGAAGTACAATGGTGTTCATATAATGATATTATTATCTACAAGATATTAAAAGAATCAGTGAATTAAAGTTGAAAATAATGTCAGGAAGATGTTTTAAATACTGTTTATAGAAATGAATTTTTATGCACTTCATTGGATTTGTAGTTCCTTTTTTTCTTTTTCTTCTGGATTTTTGCTTATGCTATTATTTTTCTTGTCATAAATACACATACTAGCTAAATGTCTGTCTTACTTTGTCAGAGCATGCCTCAAGAAATCATTGATAGTCATGAGCTGCAGAGCATTACCTTGGATTACAGACGTGAATGCGGACAAAATGACATAGTTGATTCCCTCACTAGTGCGGAAATGATCCATGGTGGTGCCGAGGTGGTTCCAGAACTCAAAGGAACAAATGGATCTGCCATGGCAAGGGATGACAAACAAGAACGCCAGCAGTTTCTGCATCTACTTAGGTTGTCTACCGATGGACTTGAGATAAACCGAGGACGGACCGAATGGAGAAAGAAAGCTCCAAGATGAAAACCATTAAGTGTGCTTCCGCCTAAGCCTTATTCATGATTCTGCTTTTTTTATCTTTCTTGTGTTGTTTCATGTTTCCAGGGTTGTCTTATCAATTTTCCTTCATTATTTTGCTTAGAGTTTGCACGCTTGATAGGGCCGAGAGCTAGATTTTGTTTCTGCATTCTTGTCATGCTCATAAATTTAAATTGTTGTCCAAATCCTGTAGTTAGATTGAATAGGTTGATATCATTTTCTGATACATTGGCATCAGAATCCTTGAATATCATTGTATCTTAGGGGAGCTTTTAATTTATATCCAGGAACCTGAACAATGTGTGTTCTTAAAATAATTATTTGAAAATTATTCAATTTGCTCATTATCCCGTTTCATATTTAATATTTCCGGGGTGATGCGGGTATACTTTTAATATTGTTGCTCTCTCCTTTTGATTGTATGTGTCAAAAGTGAATATTACTATCAAAATAACTTATGCTTGTTACCATTACGGAGTGCAGTGCATGTTTATCAGGAGAATGTAGTATTTGTGATGGGAATTAAGGTTGCTGTTGCAATAGCTAGTTTTAAATTACATTTTTTTTTATTTAAATTATTTAGGATCTTTAACTACAAGCTGTGTTGTTCAAAGTGTTACTTTAAAGTTGCTGTAAAATGTGTCATTTTTTCACTGTATTTTTCGGTGGTGATAGTAGCATATAGTTGTATGCATTTATCAGGCTATACAAGTTTACAGTTTACACCCTTAGCAGAATGGTACAATCCAAGTTTATGAGATCGCCTCAAATTTGTTCTGGCCCATAAATTTTTTCTAAAATGTAAAAAAGTATTTATGTACTGTTCAGTCTTTTACATTTCGGCAAATCAAAAGCACTTCAAGGCTAGGCCATGCATAGCCTTAATGAGGAGGTACTTATTTATTGCCTAATGAGAAACATTACTTACCAGCAAAATGTACCAGATGTTTGAGTTTTCAGTTCATCGACAGTAACAGCTGAGTGGAATTACACCAAAGTAATAGAGTATGAAACTCACTTTTCTTTATTTGAAAAGTTTTAAGAGACACCCGTAAGCATAATATATGTACTTATGCTCATTCTCTCTTCCTCATGCCAAATATGTGGACAAAGCCACTTCAACAACCGTTCTTCACATAATACATAATGTTGGCCTCATTGTTTGATTTGGTACTAAGGTTATTCTCCAATTTCCATCGGTGCAAGCAACCTAATACCAGAGGCCTAGTGCTACAATGGTAAGTGATCTATATCATGACAGGAGAATTTCATATAAAGAGAAGGGAAAGGAAATGTGTCATTTTCTTCTGTAGTTCTTAACCAATTCGAATGGCATGGCAGATTTTACCTATGAAAGACTTTATCTGCAAATTGGAATACATGTACTACTTTGCTATATGACTTATTGATCTTGTCCATGATCATTATTTTTATATTGTTTTTAAATAATATTTTAGTCTAATTAATTTATAATTTTAAAAATGATATAATTCAGTCAGTTGAACAAAGTGTGTGAATTGTTGTAAATTTCTGTTTACCAAGTTGAATTCTAATAAAAATAAAAATAAAAATAATATTTTTAGTATTTTTTTTTACACCAATAATATATTTTTCTAGTATTAATCCCTTATAAATAACTTTTTTTTTTTTGCTATTTATTCCACTTTAGTCCCCCATAACATTTGGTACATGTTTAATTAGTTTTGGTAATATGTTGACTATATTATTTAGTCTCTAAAATAGTAATATATGAATATAGTCAACATAAGCACTAATTCAATGTGAATGGAATATTATACGGACTAAAGTTAAGGAACTAAAGCTAAAACAACCTTTTATTTTTTCAGAGATTAAAATAGGTAATACTTTTTTCTGTAGGAACTAAAATAGGAAAAAAAATTGTATATTATAAGAACCAAAATTATTTAACCTTTTTTTATTATATATGAAAATCATTGTATTATTTTTTTAAAACTATCATGTTATATATATATATA